AGGAAGGAAGGAAGGAAGGAAGGAGTCCAGTCATTCAAGGAGTAGCCCTATAGGACAGTCACCTGACCTACAGAAACACCATGTGGGTAGGCTCTGGGTGTAGTCAGGGGCAGGTCTGAATAAGAGATAAAGATTCCTTTCACGCCAGGGAACAGTTTCCACCCTGGCCACCAACCAGGGTTGCCAAGCTCCTGGCGGGGCCTGGAGATCTCCTAGCATTACAACTGATCCTCCAGACAACCGAGATCAGTTCCCCTGGAGGAAACAGCAGCCTCAGAGGACAGGATCCGTGGCATCACACCCCTGGTGAGACCCCTCCCCTCCCCAAAACCCGCCCCCCCCGAGCTCCACCCCCAAAGCTCCAGGGATTTCCCAACCCAGAGTGGGCTGCCCTACCACCAGCCTAGGAGGGAGATGTTAGCACAGTAACTGTGCCCCCATTCTCAGGCCCAGTCCTTAGGGAGGAGCCAGGAGTCTGTAAGTAACAAGATCGCCAGGGAAAGCCTCGGAGGGCATGCACAGTTTCACAGTTCCTCTCGCCAGCGTACAGACCAAAGAGTCAAGAAGCCAGGCAGATAGCCCCAAAGGCCCTTACCTGTTTCCCGTCCAGAGTGTAGAGCTTCTTGACGACTCCCGTTTCAAGCTTTATGGCTTCTGTGATATCAGTGAGGACCTGCTCAAAGGAGTGGGCGGTCTTCTTGTTCAGGAGCACGCGCACGGCCTTCCTCGGCTTCACCCCGCTCCGGATGATGGTCACCAGCTTGGGACGCACAAAGTCCTTGTTCTCCCTGGCCTGGGCACTGTTGCTGCTGGCCAGAGACTGAGGCGCTTTCATGTTGGCCGAGGTCTTCACGTTGACGGACCAGTTTGGATTGACGTTCTTGGTATACTCCACTTTCTTGAAGAAGTTGTCCGAAGAGCATACATAGCTCTCACCTTTGGAGGAGAGGAGCAGAGAAGGGGTTAGGGGAGGGAAAAGAGGAACGGGCAGCGTGTCATTTCTCTTCCCGCAGGAGCTAGAAGGAGAGGAGAAGCCCACTTTGGGCAACTGTTCCTTAGGCAGAGATGGATGCCTGAAACGGCGGAAACGACAAGCTCTGCCCCACATGCTATGACCTCATCATCTCCCTTCCTTACACACCAATCGATGCTCAAAAGGGAAAGGGCGAGATGTCCATACACGCAAAGTTACCCCACTGAAATCAGGGGGCTTAGATCGGAGGAGCGTTGCACAGGACTGCACCAATGGGCTGCTTTGCTACGGCAAGACATTGGTCATACGGAGACAAGGAGAATGTCACAGTAACAGCACAGTAACAGTAAACGCACAGTTATTCCTGTCTAAGCCAACTGAAATCAACTAGCTTAGACTTACACAAGAAGCGGGACCCACGATACTCACGG